ATGTGAAAATACTATATTCATTAATTATTGGGTCCATGGGTTTCCAGGCTATATTTTGTATGCATGCGTGTTACCCTTTAATGAAGGCAGCACATTGTTTTTGTTGTTGATTATTAAGTTATTTGCATTATTTGACGCTGTTGGTGGCTCAAATAAATAAATAATTCTTACTAATATCCGGTGGAGTAAGTAGAACAGATATTTGGACCACTAATATCAAACTTACCTAGTATACAAGTTTATCGGCCTTCCTTGCCTGTGTGTCATCGCTTTTTTTATTATAGCCCAGTGGCCAAATTGTCTTATTTCGATATCGCAATCACTTTCAAAGGTATAAAGACGCAATCGCTTAAAGAACGAATGATGATTTGAATGATTAAGCAAGAAAAATATAAAATTGATAACTTAAACTTAAGTAATATTTGCGTCTAACGCTTGCCTTAGACAATTAACAATATCGTTCACTCAATATCTTTAAGGGATGCTCGGTGGCGTAGTGGATAAGCGCCGCGGCCCGCGATTGTAGTTGTAAAGCAACTTTCGCAAGGGTCGGTCACGGGATGGGTGACCAAAAAAATTATTATCTCGAGCTACTCCGTGCTTCGGAAGGCACGTTAAGCCGTTGGTCCCGGCTGCATTTGCGGTCGTTAATACCCTCCAATCCGCATTGGGCCAGCGTGGTGGGTCATGGCCCATCCTCCTTAACCATCCATAAGGAAGGCCTGAGCCCTTGCAGTGGGGACGTAAAAGGACTGATGATGAATATCTTTAAAGTGTCAAATTGGAAGGTATTGCGATAGATTTAGAAATTAGAAAATTAGGCCTCCTGTCCTCAAGGTAGTCATCAAGATGGCCATCAAGGTGGTAATTAAAACATAGAAAAACTTTCTGAGTAGTTTTGCAATACCTATCGCACGGCTTGCCTACTATACGTAGAAGTCATACTTTTAATTAGTTAACATTAAATTGTCAATGATGAAGCTCCAATGTTTTGTAGTGTGGGAGAAAGCACGTGGTATTGCCCCAGTCGGGGTAATTCCAACCCCTCCCGATGCCTCGAGGGCTTCAAATCGGTTTCTCTAGGAAGGAAGTTATAGTTTATTTGTCAGTCGATTTGTTTTGTTCAAATATTTCTTTTAGTGTAGTTATTCGTAAGCAATGAGGTTCCTCTTTACTCACTATGTACTCCTAGAAAAATGTTTTTTTTTTCTAATTATATTTTTTGTCTTAATTTTAATTTATTTATTATTATATTTATTTTGATTCGCCAAAAGTGCCAACAATATTAAGTAGGTACATAACGTTTTAAAATAAAAAAATAAAATAAAATACATTATTACTTATTTGTAATTGTAAGTAACCTGATAATATTCTAAGGAAATAAGTAAAATCATCAAATAACAATAAAGGTAAACGCCATCTTTTAACAGCTGAAATTATGTTATCATCAATGTTGTTCATTATTGATAATGCTAGTCACCTATCGGGCAAGAGAATTGAAAGCAGTTAATTAATTGTCTAATTTTATAAACTATCACAATCCTTTTCAAATATACGCGGTTGTGATAGTGATTCATGGAATTGTATAACTTTTAAAGTTACAAACGCTTTTGGAACGAATAATGGTAAAAATTATATATAACGGCGGGTAGTCCGAATGGGCTATTACGAAGCCCAAATAGATTGTCCATATCGGAGGACTATCTTTAAAATAACACTGCAGGCATGTATTCCAACGTGGATTTGTTCCATTTTATCACTTTTCGTACGAAAATATAATGAGATGAGCGTGATCTCGTCGGATGTCTTTACTCCTCGGCGATCGGTAAAAGAATGTGTGCCAAAATGGCGGCAAATTGTTTTTTGTTAACGAACTGTCAAAGTCAGTGTCACCATTTTAATAAAATTAAAAGTATCGATGATCACACTCTCTTTACAATCGAGTAATTAAGTAATCGAGTAACTAGCAATTAAAATAAAATAAACTAAATCAAACGAACTTCGTAATGATGATGCGACATATATAAATGTCATATTCCAATAGCTTTCAAAGATATTTGTAACTATCACTGCTTAAACAATTCAGATTAACGTCAAATATCTCTAAAAAAAAGCGCCACGATCGCAATTGCTATCACATGTCACGTAGTTGTAACGTGCAGTAAATGAATAATTTTCAAATATCTAATTCAAAGTGATTGTGGTAGATTCTAAAATAAGACAATTAGGCAACAGGCTTTATTTCAATAATAAAACCAGCTCAGATTTAGAATGACTATTTTTTGTCATTTTTTTCTAGAGATGGAAAAAACTGTATTTTTTCCAGACTTAATATAACATTTAGTTATTGTGATTAATTTTTCTGTATGCATTAAATGAACTTTGATTGTTGTTTTTATTGGAAAGCATAGCATAGGACTTTATACCCAACACACGTCATCATACCTACTTTATTAATAGAAAAGTCAAAATTCTCTTAGCACATGACATATTCGTAAATCGCTGCCCTGTCAGAAATCACATAAGTTTTAAAAATAGTTGATGTAATATGTTTCCTGCATATCCATGCATAAATTTATTTGTTTTGTAATGTGTCTTTTCTGTAGAATCAATTGTTATTCTGCCTTGTTTGTTCTCCTTTCTGTACTCCGTACAATGTACTGTATATTACGTATGTTTCAGATGCCCGAATCTCTCATGGCTGTATTGACTATGATGGAACATTGTCATAAATAAGGAAGATCAAATAATAATTGTTTATTTAGTCCAAAGTAGATTGGGCTGGTCAATTGCACGTCAGACTATAAAAAAACAGTCAAACTTCCCCACTCTATTTTAAATCTTAATATATTGAGGGTAGAGGTCATAATTAATTGCAGAAATTTGATATATTGCGGCAACCTGAAGTGCAGCCGTGTGTATATCAAAATTGCCTTTTTTCGTCGTTTCATAACACGAATACATTAGTCATGACTACATTTTTTTATGATTAAAGAGGTTTTTGAGTAATAAGTTCTAATTTAATCTTATGAAATCAGTAACTTGGAGAAAGTAAGTTACACAGAAAAAACAAAAAAAAAAACAAAAATTATTTCCGAATAGATTTTATTCTTACAGACAATTCCATTATACTTTCATAATGCTAGATAGAGATAGACAACAGTTTGCACCGCATATTAACACTTAAACTTAAGTACATAAATATTAAGTTGTCCTGTATATCCTGATCATCTCACTATCTTCAGAATCACGAACAGCTGATCAAGGGGAGTACATCCAGAGAAAGTGAATTTCCAATATAATTACAACATTGCAAACTTATTTATGAAACCACTGACATAAAGTTCAGAATTATTTCTACCACACATAAAATAAATATCATACAAAAACACTTCAACGTAGAAAAATTCTTCCGTCTAGTTCAATGAGTTATTTTAATAGACAATGATATTGTAATAGTCATAGTCCGGCTGTGACTTAATTTCTAATTAAACACATCATGTATTTACCGGAACTCTAATCTTACTAACAGCGTTACTAGATGCACCAAAATTACTAAATCTACACCAAAAATGTATAAAAGTAAAATACACATAATGCACCAAAATAAAATGTGCCTTAAATTATCTATTTTTATGTATACTTAGTAATTTTAGGTAATTTTGGTGTTGGAAAAATACCATTTCCTTTTACCACTATGTCGTAAAAGTATCAATTTTAATTGAAACTGACTTGTAAAAGTCACGTATGTATAAAGAAACAGTAACCCTTAGGTGTAGGTCTCCCCAATGGTTGAATAGTAAAAATATACATTGTATTTTCCAATTAACTTTAACAGTTACTCGTGGTTTTCTCATTGAAGTTAACACATTTCATACTTATAACATTATAGACATTGTTTCGTGACTCCAAAGATAATAGGTACGCGAATTTAATTGAATACAGGTAAGTTCTGTTAACAAACAGGTAAATAAAAAATACAGCGATAATTCAACTAACAGCGTTCAAAGTATTACTATGTAAGAATGTTTGAAAACGAAAAAATGGCGGTACCCAAAAATTTTGTTCTTCCAACTGAAATATGCAAAAACGTTGTCATTATACCCTTTATCCACAAATGTACGGAACATCGATAGACTTAATTATTCCTTTCTTAATTATATTCCCTAATAATTTTAGTTTATAGTAGTATCATACAGATTTCTTCGTTATATTATTATATTTACAAATTATTATTTACACAATATCTGTTCGCTTAAAACACTACTTTATTTCATCGTACTTAATAATAAATGTATTATTTAGAAATTATTATCAATAAATACACAAACAAAATGCGTTACAATTTCTGTATCTATCTAAATATAGGAACCAAAATTATTTTACTATGCAGACGTGAAAATACTGTAAATAAATATTTTTATTAACTTAATAAATTATCGAATGCTTTATAAAACTCTATGCTGTACACTTAATTCTAACTATACACATTATATCAATAGTTTATTCACAAGTTTAAGCAAAATAAAAGAGAGACGAAAAATAATTTTCTCATTTTTCTAAAATGAAATTAATCTTTTCGAATGACAAACAAATCTTGCAAGAAATTAAACTTACTAGCACCAGATAAATAATATAGAAAATAGACGATTTTTGATACCAAAAAGATATAAATTGTTTCAGTTAAAACGAGGTAAAATGACCACTGTTAGCACTTGACATTAGTATTTGCTGTTCAAATAAGCTTCATATTAATATAATATATGCCAATTTATTTTTAAAAAGAAACAAGATTTTTTATTTGAAACTGAAAATAGTGAATCACTGGTCAGTTAACCTTAACTTTTCTTAATAAGAATGAAAAAAAACGCACCATCAAAAACTAACGATACACTATTCGCAAAAAGTTATCACTTCACTTAAAATGTTGTGATCACTCAGTCCACTAGGTAGCCCGTTGAGCCGCATCAGTCGTGGAAGTCCCGCGGCTCCGGCTTCAGCTACCAGACCAGACCCTCCGGGTGGAGGGGTGGGGGGGCGTCGCCGAACGTGAACTCGGGGGAGGAAGGCCGGGGCAAGACCAGGTGGTCTGGCGGTGGAAACTGTTCAGGGAATTCGCCGCCCGGCATCGATTCCATTCCGCCTGCGAAACGACCTGCGCTCATTATTACATGTCCAATGTCACACGACGTATTACAATATTGGCTATGACAACAATCGACACATAATACTGGTGATTTAAGGAAGTAAAAGTTAATGCGAAAATATATAATAAATGTGTGGACAGGAAATATATGTATGTATATCTAGAGCAATTTTAAATATTAAATAACATGACGGTGCTTCGAACCCAAATTCAGAAGCTAAAGCCCTTGTATTGTGGATAAACGAAACAACTAAGATATGCCATAAAAATCAGACCCGAGACAATATAGAAAAAAAATTATATTGACCTGACCGGAAATCGAAACCAGGATTCAGACATGGCAACAATTAGATATCAGCGATGGCAATCAGTCATGGAGCTTGTCAAAATTGAAATAAATGTTCTATACCCGGTAGAACATAGCACCCGGTATATTTTACGTATATGTTCTAAAATCAGTAACTTCGTATCAATTTTGTGTTATGTATGTAAGTGTGAATATTATTTCTAATTTTAAGTACACATAACAGCACATCAAGTTACTATAAAAAGTCAAATTTCGACAATCAATTTTGAACTTAACTGGCTTGGAAACAAAAATATATCTTTTGTAATATTCTTACGTGCTGTCGTGTCGACTGTACTTCCGAAAAAGTTACTTTCTAAATATATGCGAATTCTACAGACTATCTTGTTTAACATGTGTTTTTAAAATTGAATTATGTTGAATTCACATAAAAATAAAACAGGGGGAAATGACAAGACAAAGAAATAATCTCAACATTTTACCAACCTGGCTGATTGAACGGCATCGCCGGCGGCGGATGGAAAAACGGCGCATCATGGTGGAACGGCGGGCCATATCCAAACTCGAACTTTCCATCCGCAGTCGCGAAGTACGGAAACCCCGGCGGTCCTTCCTCGAGGCCGCCAGGGGATAGGTTCATTGGGAACCCACGCATCTTCCGCGATGACCCGAAGAAAGGACCCCGTCCCATCGACGTCAGTTGTTTTAGACGCCGCTCCTTCGATCGTTTGTTTTGAAACCATACCTGTTGAAGAAAACTGGACTTAGTCATATACAATAATAAAAACAACATATTATAGATATTCAAGAAAAAGTGCGTAAAAAAAAAATTAATTATGTCTATGCATAGCGAGTCTCCTCGAATTTAAGATTTTAACCGACTTTATCCAGAGTCACCTCCATGGAGCGAGACATCGCTGAGCTTTAGTAGATATGCCCCTGCTATTTCATTAGCCCCAGTCTGGGTTGAATCCGCGGGGAAGAGTTCCGAATAACTCCGTCGACCCCGCGCTAGGGGCTATAACGCATTTGTCAGCGTCAAAACAAAGGATGAAACGGTGATCAGAAATTTTCTTAACTGTGATCAGAGAAGCGCTAGTCTGTGTATAATTGGATATTAATATAAAATAAAATGGTTAAGATAGTTTGTAATAATATATAGTAATATTAGCGTAAAAAAATCGAGGCAAATGCGTGTTCCGTGTACCTTTGTATATTCTACATTCAGCTAAAACCAGCGCTTTACTTTGGTTTAAAATATAGTTCTATACATACGTATTCTACGTAACTTTTTCGAGCAAAAAACTTACGTATAAGTACACAATCGTTCCTTTTTTAGGTTAATTCATTAAATTTCATGAGAAATCTACCTTCATAAGGTTCCAAGTGGTACTACTTAACACTAAAAATTTATATTTATGTAAAAATATACTAAAACATGTCCTTTTCATCTGAAATGTTATATGACAAAACATTCGAGATGAACAGAATATTATTTAGTACAGTAATAACTTCTCCGGTGACCGCAGAGTAAGTATAAAACTTTTCCCAAGTCGCAAGTAACGAAAGTAAAAATGCAAATATCTCGACGCGCTTTGTCGGCGCTGGTGATGTTTATTGCTAAGAAACCACACGTTCGGTGGTGCGGTCGTGACAGCCACGAACGTATTTGTTATTTGAAAGAAAAAAAATTGTATTTATTTTAATGAAACTGATGGTTTTGTATGAGCCAATATCCGAGTAATCAGTTATAAAACATTATAGTTTATGAAATGAGCACTTTTGTTTTTTTTATTGTGAAATAGATGATACTTCATACGACTTACTTCATATTTTTTTAAGTTAAATTAGCTTTTTTATTGATGAAATAATTAAAATTGCTAGAGTTTACATTACAAACAAAAAAAAAACAAAAATTTAAATCTTTAATTTTATTTTGTACCTACGTTCAGATCACATCTATGTGTGAATTTTCTAACAATATTAGATTTACAAAAATTTTGCAAAATATAGAAACAATAACAAAAATCACATTGTACAAATTAAATACAAAGCTTCATCAAAGCTGATTTCAAAAATTACAAAGCACATTGGTAAACAATTCATCGTTAGAAATCGATTAACAAATCGATACAGGCGGGAATCGATACATGATTCAATTTGCATCACTACCCACGATATGACCATTCTGATGTCACGGCGATTTGTCGCGTCGCGTGCCCGGCGCAAGACTAATCGCAACGTTGTAGGGTTGTCAATAGTAGCTCAGTTAAGATAAATAAATATAATGTCAAAAGAAAAGAATCACAATTTAAATAAATTAATATTTGAATAAATCAATCAAAAGTATATTAATAATATTATATGTGTCAATATAAACCTGAATTAATTCCGCTATTAAAAAGTATGAAAGATGCTATTTATTTTCTAATATTAACAACATCCAGTTTTACAATGTCAATCTAATTGCTGGGGGTCCGTAAGCTGATTGCAGGCGATTCCTGTTAATCGATCAATGAAATGAGCCCTCTTTAGAAGCTATTATAATTTTTATAAAATAATACCATTGTTATGCTTACGCCATCTATTGACATTTAATATGAATCCATGACATTCCACTTAAGCCCAAAAATCAATTAATATCATTACCAACAATTAATTAAATGCATTAATCATGGTCAACCTTGCGTTAGATAATGCTTTCTGTATTCAGAATTGTATATGTTTAACCAAATTATTTCTTTACTTTGCCAATAAGATGAATACAAAATATAACTTTTATTAATCTAGAAGCAAGTATGAATCGTTGCTCTATTTGTAATGTGACGGCTATCAAATGACTGCATAACAGAAGTTATTGAAGGCTAGGTCACTAAAGTGTTGCATTGTTTTTATTTCTATTACACAACCAACGATTTCTTCTAACCCTATCGGTAACGGCTTCATCGCACTTCACGATATCTCGTGTACGTAAGCCATTATGATTAATTATTATCGCCCCGATATTTCGCATTGACAATGACCCACCTTCGCTAGGCTTGCTTTTGAATGACCTTCATGTGATCTTCAATTTCTTTTATTCATAATTAGAACACATTTAATGTAGTATAAACTTTTTCAGTGAAAATTATTTCCCAACTATTTAATAGAAGAATAAAAAAAAAGAATATTGGTATAATCCCGGCAAATTGTTTATACGACTGGCTGCGATTTTGATTACGTAATTGTATTTAAAATTAATACCGTTAACAAGTTGATTGGTTGGTTGACGAGTACACTAAATTGAGTTGGGTAGTGTTGAGATCACAGATCATTATTGTTATGTTTTTGTTGGTTTCGATTGTTATTGGTAGGTTCTGTTGTTACCTACTTATTATTTTTGACTAAAATAGCAACAGCGATTATGATTTTCACTATAAGTAAATATATTTTCACTAATAATAACTATATCTAATGTCTCTCACTTTATTATTACTTTTGGTTATGTTTATAAAATGTCCTTTACGTTTTTTATCGCGTTATTACAAAGAAAATGTATTTCATTTTATTACCGTTTACCTCAATATTTACATTTATATTAACATCATTCAATAATTAATAAATAATTTATTAATATACCTTTTGTGCTATCTATATTTTCTATTTTCATATGACGTCACGCGGCTGTTATTTTGACAAGTTTCTAGTTCATTAGCAATTTATGGACCTTATAGCAAATTCTGTTGCAGAAACCAAAAAATATGATGACAAACAAATGAATAATTTTGCAATGATCAATGTCTAACTATTTTAAAACTTGTAAATCATAGTTATCGAAAGGAATCGATTCCATTGTAAATGAATAAAGCAGGGGTACAAATGTAACTAATCATTTTGCGGAAAATTAAACTACAAAACTAAAGATCCTTTCAGGCAAAGCATGTCTAATAAAACAAATTTCCCGAAAAAAAAGTCATTAATGTTTGACCTTGCGTATCATCCTTTCTCTTAAGCAACCAGAAACAAACAAAAAGCAACGCCGAAATGAATCTTATTTCAAACGAAATAAGATGTGCTAATAATTCTACAAGATCAATTGTGCTTTATAATGTGTAGCATTAAACTTGTAAAAGATTACACTAATTTGCAAATAATGTGATATTTTTTATGTCAATTACTTCTTCATTTGCGTTTTAATTATACGTTGTATATATTTAGTCTATTTTGTTAAAGTTCAATCAAATATAACCTAATCCAAAATCCTAATTTACGTCGTATTTAATGCTGTTTTATTACAGAACAGAACAAAAGGCACAGTCCAAAAAACATATCTCTTCAATGATACATTATTTAAAGACAAACATCCTATTAATATTATAAAGGCGAAAGTTTGTAAGTATGGATGTATGGATGTTTGTTACTCTTTCACGAAAAAACTACTGGACGGATTTGGATAAAACTTTACAGCAATATAGGTTATACATCAGAATAACACATAGGGTACTTTTTACTGGGAAAACTTCTCACTCCCACGGGATACCGACTTCCACGCGGACGAAGTCGCGGGCGTCCACTAGTCTTTAAATAAATAGGGATGAATCCCGGGTAATAAAATCCAATTTCATCCATCAATCAGACAATAGAAAGATATTAGACACTTTTTTTTGTTGTTTCACTTCAACAAAAAATAGCTTAGATAACAGGCATTAAAGGTGAAGGGTGGGGGACCACTGCGTCACAGCTTTTTAGAAAATGTACAAAAGCATGACGTCATGATTTTAACTTAATGTAGCGCCGAAATTTATTGATTACGCAAAAAAAACAAAATTACTAGTTTAAAATTCCCTAATAATCTACCTGACGGACGGACAAAAAATTTAGTTATTATTCATATTAAAACCACTTAATCAAAAAGTTATTAGAAATTCAAAATAAAGGAAAAACTTTTAACATTTGTCTGAAAGGCATGGCATTTGATTAGATTCAATACTAATAGTATCACGGAAACGTTTTCTACACAGTAATAAATTTTTATATGTAAAGTGATTTCCTATAAAATACTTTAATCATTGTCGCTCTAGCCTTTGATATTGCCGGTTGCGCCCACAAGAACATTCACACTCACACGCCTATCAGAGTACAACCTGCTTCGAACTCGTCTATTCTGAAAATTTTAAGCGAGCTGAGTGTACGATAGGTAATAGAAATAAAAAAATAAAACATTTTTTTAATATATAATAAAAATATGAATTATAGTTATTTAATGAATAAATACACTGTATACCTATGCTATTTTTCACCTTCTATTAGTGGTTTATCTGCGCGTTTTGCACAATTCTGCCAAAACCGTAGTCCATTTCGGACTTTTTTCAAATAATTACGATGATAAAATTATACGACTGATTTATTAACTATTTACTAAATCCTTAACCCTAATGCATAGAAATTTGAAATTAATATCTATTGTCTTCTATTTAGTGCAGATATGAGCACTAGATAAGAAATGTTAAATATAAAAATGATAGGTATACTGACATATCATTTTTATTTTTAAATTCAATTTTATTGAGTAATTAAACCACATATAGATAAATCAGAATCGGTCAGTCTTTAGATCAGATCATGAAATCAAATAGAATAATCTACATACAAACTTCAGTAACTTTTCCAACAATCAAATTTAATAATATGGAGAATAATAATTCTGTTCGTTTTTCAACAAGTACATTGCAACTCTATACAGTTCTTAAAATACTTATGTTTGTTCGCGGAAGACCTCTGTACGATATTCTTGTTTTATGGCTCTATGAATCAGATTCTCTCGTCTTGATTAATGATTGATTTTAACGAGGTGGTTCTGCTGTCCTTCTCTTCATTGTGTTAAGATATTTATTTCTGAACCAAGTTTGACGACTTTCTGTACACTTTTGACGGCTAAAATTTGTATGTATTGGCATAAATGAATGGCTTTGATTCTAGAAAATTCACGTGTTATATGCGTGCGTGTGTTAGTTGATGCAAAATATTCATCTAGATGTTTAATGAAATGGAATTTTACTTAGCGTGAAGACCGAGTTTTAATAAGTATTAAATAAGTATTTATATTAGTTATACTGATCACATTATCAGTAGTTGGGAAAAACATAATTGTCCAATACTGAGTAAAAAAAATTTTTTATCACCATCATCAGTTTATTAATGTCGCCACAGCTGGGCACAGGTCTTCTCTATGGATTACATGGCACGTGGACCCAGCGCGGATTGCAGATATAATCGGGACAAACAGCTTAATGTGCCTTCGAAGTACAGATGAATTACATATAATAAAATTTTTGGTTACCCATCCTATGACAGAATCTTGAGAAAGTTCCTTGGCTAAAACATCGCAGGCCGAAAGCGCTAACCACTGCGCCATCGAACTCCTCCAAGAAGAGTTTGTAATCAAATATTTGTTTTAACCTCACTAGTTTTCTTTTTCTTGATACCAGTGCTGTTTATAACCGACTTTTAACGAAAAGTTACAATACAAAATCAGTAACTCGTATCAGAATCACCTATTTATAATGCCCATAATACAGGGTAGGGTGACGACGCAACGCGCGGGACAGTCCGCCGCGGGGCGCCGGGCGGACAAGCCGCGCGGTGTTAAACACCATATTTCATGCGCCTGCGCCGCGGGGGCTATTCTCTTACCTCGCCGACTACGCCGATGTTGTAAAACTGCGTTATAAGCACTGAAATAGGTATTACTTCACATGCAAATACTTTAGTTTTGTCTCCAATAAGAGCTTATTACCAGTTCTAATTTTTTTTTCTTGGAAAATACGAATATAGTATATATTATGAAATAATTTATTCGGATCTGAGATTTGGTCTTATGGATTTATTTTTTACTATAAATCAATTTATTGAAAATATCATAGTTACAAATAAGTAGTATTAAATAAAAATTGTTAACAATTTGCTTCTTGTATGTGTACCATTAAAGATCTGTACATATTATTATATTGCTAATTAAACTTTACGTTATTATTAATTGAAGTAGAAGTTTTAATGTAGTATGCGAACGTGTTTACGACTTTTTTTGAGAATTATATCGTTCTTATAAAATATTTTGTAACAATAAAATGTGCATTATAATAATTTTGAGTTAGTATTAGTATATTTGATTGACAAACAGATTTTAAAATTATGTATAAAGTAGAATTAATTAATTACTTATTGAATTATATGTTCATATGATAATAAATAGTATTACATAAGTTATTTCATGTCAAAGAAGAAGACGCTGAGTGAAAATCATGAAGACGCTGAAGTCGTCAACCTTTTTATGATAATTAAAGAAACACAATACCAAAACAATAACCTTTGGAGGTAAAGACAAGGATCAAAATGATATAAGAGTTGTTCCTGCATATTATCCGATATAAGGTGATATAAATAGCTCGATTGCCTGCACCAAATGGCACCCCCCATTGTTAATGAGTGTAGGTGTAGGTATATTACGAGTTGGAGATTTCTCAAGTTGCAAACAAAAGAGTTTAGCTTGATTGTTATTTACAAACATATCCATTTATTATGAAATCTCTACAGAATGAACATAGTTTATTTAAAAAAGATTTGTCGTCTAATATCATTCAAACAACTTCTAAAGAGAAAAAGAAATCAGTATTACATATAACAGTTTAAAACCCTTTTGCAAAATCAGTATCATTGCATACTTAGAGTTTATAAAATGACCACACAGGCACTTCGACCTGTTGCCGTATTCGGACAAATCCCGGATTAGATGAGGATTACGACACCCAAATACCTAGAATTCGATGTTACAGTCAGCAAAACAAATGCAGACTAGTAATTTGGGCTTAGAGCGTTGAGAGCGCTCAGCGGGCGGTCGACTCCCTGTAGGGGCCTGTAGAATACACCTTTAATAAAAGTTTATATTCGAAAATCGACCCTAACAAGTA